TTTTTTGCACATCGCATGCTGTGTGCATGTACCCATCCATCATCTCCGCCAAATGCGATCTGCCGCTTTCCACCTCACTTCGCAGCTGCTCTTGCTATTGGTGCACCTTCATTCACCTCCTAAAGGGCACAGCCGTAGCGCATCGCTCACGCACAGTCGGTTCCGCGTCTTGGCACAGCACGCAGAGGATTGCACAGTCCAGCGTCTTCCGTGCGCGAGCTTCGCAAGAGGTCCATCACGCGTGTGACTATGCCTCGTCGCAATGCCTCAAGAGCACTCCACCACGTCGAGCTTCCAGTGAGTGAAACGTATGAGCTCGGCAGTGTACGCCTCCGGCTCTGACACTGCCATGCTTGGGCCTCGCCTCGTAGAGCTTCCTTCTCCACGCTCGTACCGGCATACTTTGAACGCTACCCGAACCCGCTGGCAAACCACGTCATATGCGCGGATGTCATCGATCGTCGACTTGTCCCTTTAGACGCCTCCTCCTCCTCCTCTCCCTCCTCCTCCTTCGCTTCGTCCACTCGCTATGGCTTGCGCACTACGCGGCTCATCCTCAAGAAGGGCACGCTTCCTGCCTGGGCACCCAAAGGCATCCTACGAAACAGCGAGAGCTGGGTGTTGGAGGAGAGTCTGGTGGAGCTCGATGCGGCTGGTCAGAATGAGGGAAGGAGGATGCACACTTGGACTAGGAACTTGGATCACACCACCGTGCTGGCCGTTACTGAAGGGCTGACGCTAACTGAACGTATCTCCTCGAGCATCAAATCCGGCGGAGATGCGGATGTGAAGGGGAAACAGCCTCTTAGAGGCGATCAAGCATCCACAGGAATTGGGTGAGTCGCCCAATCAGAAGCTCCTAGTCCGCGAGAGGGGAGGGGAATGATTAGACAACGCAAGGATATGCACCAGAAGCAGGTGGTGTGCTCACCATCTCAGCTACCGCCCTTCTTCAGCTCCGTGTCAGAGAGCACAGTCGCTTGCCTCTCGCGCGGGCACATCACTTCCAGCGTATCGCCCGCGTTCCTAGCGAGGCGAATAGAAAAATTTGGTCTGAAGCGTTTCGTCGCGCACGCAGAGACGGCGAGTGGAATCATACAAGCTGCGCATCGATAACAAAACCGCCCATTGCTGACGGTCTCGTGCTCATCTTCCATCCGATCAGAGTCATGACGGCTTGCTCCTGGTGCATGCGGCTCTTCTCCGAGCCGCATCAGGCGAGCCACCTTCATCTCACTCAACCACCATGACGAAACGAGGCAAGCTTGCGCAAGCTCTGAGACCGCCATTTTTGGACGGCTATCCACCCAGCTTGATCGTGCGGGCTAGGAGGAAGTACGAGCAGGCAAGAGGATGGTGGAAGGATTTGAGGCGAGGCGGCACGAACGACGAGACGCTCAAGAGGGAAAGACCGGATGGAGAGGATGCTAGGAGAGGCGCATTCAGGCCTGCTGATTGGCTGAGGAGCAGATTGGTGGGCCTTCGAGGAACGGAAGAGCGAGATCGTGGAACTGTAACCTCGTGAATGGCATCAATACTGGCTGCGTTTCTGGTCAGCACTCAAAGTGTCTATTGAGCACCAGCAGCTTGTCGCGGCGCTCCACTGTCCCGCAGCTGCCTAAAAATAAGATCAAGGTACAGCCAATGAACAAGTAAATGTCAAGCCGCGCGCAACTGAGCGAATTTCAGTCCAGGTCTAAAAATTCAAGGGATCAATTCGCACACGCTCGCTCGCTCAAGGAACAAGGTCACCTCGAAATTACATTTAACCATCAGGCTCAGAAGAGTCGTCAAATATCCTCTCTTCTGTGGTGCTGCGTGAGGGCACATTCTTTTTTCAGGGATGTGGTTCGTCTTGGGTCCGCATTGTGGACGAGCCATCGGCGCTTAAACTTCTCATTCTGAGAGCTTGGACGATCGGATTTTAGGGATCGACAAACGGCGCAGGTGTTGAGAATGGTCACTTCTAGGACATCCGCGCAAGCTTTTCATTAGCAGCGCGCTTTGCCTTGCGTTTGCCGGTTGATGGCGGCAGTGCCGCTTGTCGCTTTCCGGACGGTGGCCCTCGACGGCGGGAAGCAGGAGAACTCGAGGATTTATGCAGGCTGTTTCGATCTATTCCGTACGAATCGTCGCCATCAGGGTCTGATTCTGGCACATTTGATTCTCGCGCCTTTCGCCCTCCCGGCACATGACGAGGCTCGAGTACCTCGGACTGCTTCTTTGGCTTATTCGAGCCGAACTTCGAGACTGGCGTTGCCAGAGGGGCAATCGATTCTTCATCTTCTGGGGTTGCTGTCGACTGCTCTTCAGAAGCTTGAC